CATTAATCTGAAATAATTATTTGTTGTAATTTTATAGCAGTTTTTGTTTTGTGCACCAGAATAACATTATAGTATGATTATTAAGCATAACTAGCTGTTGATGAGGATATTTACAAGTAACCTACATTTGTTTTGAAAACTGTTACAGTTTGTTGTTGTTGTTATGTGCTGTGGAGTTGGTTCACACTGATAGCGACCCTGTACAGGGTTTCTGAGGCTGTAAATCTTTACGGAAGCAGAAAGCCTCATCTTTCTCCTGCAGAACAGCTCGTAGTTTCAAACTGCTAACCTTGCGGTTCACAGCCTGATTCATAACCACAGCGCTACCAGAATTATCAGTGAATTTTGGAATTTTGATCATTGCTAAATGTACATCAAGTTTACCCATTCATTCATCAAACAATAACAACAGTAAAACTGGCTGAATTAAGAGACTTGAATATTTGATAATAAACTCAAGTCTCCATGCTAGATTTCTGTCCAGCATGTTCTGGGTGTGTCTTTTTTTCCTCCTCCAGGGAATCCCTGATAAATTGGACCCTGACAGCTCAGTCTTAACAGAGCCAAAACTCTAACAAGAGAATTCTTTTAGGAATTAGTGTTTCTTCCTCTCTGATAATAGCTACATAGCTACATAACTGACTACTTCTTTTTTTTTTTTGGCTTAGGATCAAATTTTAGGCTACTATGATGTAGATATATAGTAGTTAGTAGTTATTTGCTGGGGCGCTTAAGTTTCCTTTGGTGTTTACACCGGTTCTTTCTACTCTTAAGGAGCCCTGATGGTGCAGTGGTTAAGAGTTCAGCTGCTTGCTCAAAGGTTAGTGGTTGGACTCCAATAGCCACTTCATGGGCAGTCTACTTCTGTGAAGATTACAGACTTGAAAACCCCACGGGGCAGTTTTACTCTGTCCTGTAATAGGACTCCTGGTATGCATATTGTAGGATCAGCATTGGACTGTGAACCAAAAGGTCAGCAGTTCAAACCCATCAACTGTTTCTCGGTCATTTTGTGTTGAAACTGACTTAACAACAGCACTTAACAACAGCAACAACATAGGGTTGTTGCTAGTCTGAATCGACAGAGATGAGATTTCCCCCCCATCCCCCATTCTCTCTATTCTTAATAATGTAGTTTCAGACCCTGGTGTTTAATTTATACTTAAATATTTTGTATTTTTATCAATTTTATTGTGATATAATTTGTGTATAATTATATTGTATAAGACAATAAATTCTAAGCAATATACACCTGAGAATCCACAGCTATAATCAAGATAGAATACATTTTCACTGCATGCAAAATGTTTCTCATGTTCCTCTGTAGTCCATCCCTTCCTTTGTCACAAGCAACCACCAAATTGCCTTTTGTCATTAAAGATGATCTTGTATTTCCTGGAATTTTATGTAAGTGGAAAGATATAATATATTATCTTATTTATCTGGTCCCTTTTACTCAGGATGTGCATCTTGAGCTTCATCTATGTTGCTACATGAATTTGTTCTTTATTTATTGTTGGGTAGTTTTCTATTGTAGGAGTCCTGGTGTGGAGCTGTGGGTTAATATGTTGGACTGCAGAGTCTGTTTGATCCGCAAGGTTAGTAGTTCAAGCTCACCAGCTGCTCCACAGAAAACCTATACAAGTTGCTATGAGTAATAACCAACTCAATGGTACTTAACAACAACAAACAACAATTCTGTTGTGTAGATATGTTACATTTTCATTATCCATTTCCCTATTGTTGGATAGTTGGATGGTTGTTTTAAGCTCATGTACAAGTCTGTGTGTGGAAATAGGTCTTCAATGCTCTTGGGTGAAAACCTAAAAGTGGAACAAGTAGATCATAAATGTCTGATTAACATTTATTTAAACTGCCCTTTTCTAAAAGTGGTTGTATCACATTTCATTCCCATCAACAAGTTAGGAGAGTTCTAGTTTCTGGGTATGCTTGCCAATCTTTAGTATTGTAAACCCAATTTTAGCTACTCTACTGAGTATGCAGAAGCTATATTTATATTGTACTCTTGATTTACTCCGTGTGTGTGGCATTTTTTTGGTAGGTAGGCATTTGCTTTTGCTCTCAGTTTGTTTTCTGGCTACAGAATCCCCCTCTTCTTTTCTGAACTACACCTTTCCCCTCTCAGTGCCTGTGGTTTGTTTATGTGGGGTTGACTCTAGGTGTGAACACATGAGCCAGGCTAGCCCCATCACTGTATTTCATATACACACTCACACACACATATAGTGATTGGTGCATATGGCCTAATTAGCACTTTTTCAGGACTGAAGCTTGATGCTGGGTGATGCTAAGACTGGAGCTATATTTGCTATATATAATATGTATTTCTGGTGAAAGCCCACCTACGAAGTTTGGTCACAAGGAAATCAGTCAAGAAATGATAAATCCCAACATTAGGCTCTGGAATACAGATAAGGATCCCTGTTAGTGTAGTGGGTTAAGTGTTGGACTGATAACCTCAAGATCAGAAGTTCTAATTCACCAGTTGCTCCTCAAGAGAAAGATGAGGTTTTCTACTCCTATAAAGATTTATAGCCTTGAAAACCCTATGCAAGGTTGCTCTGTGTCTGAACCAGCTCCATGCCACACAACTAGCACCATCAGAATACAGATATAACTAAGATACTGTGTCAGTCCCCAAGGAGCTCACTGTAACCCCATGGGGTAGATATATTTACACAACTGACTGTAGTATAATGTGGTAAATACGATGATAAAAATATTCACCGGATGACTGGCAAACATAGAGGATGAGAAGGCAAAAATCAGGTCATTAAAACATTTCTAGAAAATAGGTGGTTGGAGCAAGGACTTAAAGGATGATTAGGAATGATAAGCCAACATCAGGGATGGGGGAAATACCCCACACAGAAGGTAGAGCATTTTTTGAAATCTTTTGTTGTCATTGTCATTTATATAACAGAATAAAACATAGCTTCATCCTGTGACATCTTCATGATCTTTGGTATATTTGAGTCCATTTTGTGTCTATTATAGATAACAGGAGAACACTATAAAATCAAAGATGTGAAACAAATGATAGTTTAAGAAAATTTGTAAATGATTCAGTATAGCTAGAGGGTAAGTGTCTGGGGTCATCTTTCCATCATTCTTGCTCGCTGAAAATCAATGGTGGGATAGACAAAAATGAGGCTAAAGGGGAGGGCAAGGGACAGATGATGACGGGCCTGGTGTGTCAATGGGAAGATTTTAAAATTTCTTCTGAAAACTACAAAAAGCTATGGACAAACTTGGAGCAGGGCAATACTTGACAGCAATAAAAAGGATGAGATGGAGAGAAGACCAGCCTGGGGCAGGGAGCCTGGGGCAGATTCTACTGCAGGAACTCAGGTGAGAAAGCCCAAACCTCCATGAATGAGAACAGTCTCCTTTTCAGAAGCAGGACACGATGCAAACAGCATTCATAACAACAACAGTTCCTTCATAGTGATAATAGCATTCTTGTGACCATAGATTGTAACAAGGCAGATAAATATATTATTTTTAATTTTAGCAACTCTAAATTATTTTTTAAGAAGTGGTTTCTAAGTTACCATTCTGTTTCACAGTCTTTAAAGCACTTACCTCTATAATCTGCAAATCTGTACTTACGGTTCTCCCAATAATATACATCAGAGTAACCAATGATTGTGATCCGTACCTACAAAGCCACAAGATGTTCATCAGCAATGGAAAACATTTTGTAAGATAAAGCTATATTTGTTTACAGCAGATAAATGCTAAATATACAGCCTCAACTAACTCATGTTGTTCAAATCTAAGCAAAACTGTATGAGCTAGTTTAGCTTCATCTTAATAGAAAATCTGTTATGTAGAAAATTCTATTAACACTAAAGAAGTATTTATAGTTAAAAATGATTTTTATAACATGTAGTTTTAACAGTTTTGTTTAAATATGAAAGATTCTTCTTATAAACAACAACTGTTCTTATCCATTAAGTGAGGTGATAAGAATGCACGTCGCATGTTTAAATTAAGATGATTTATAAGGGAGTGAATAAACACATTATGCCCTTTTAAAAACATTTTTTATTTAAAAATAAACACATTATGCCCTTTTAAAAAAACTTAATACAGGACTTATTTCAGAACTTCTGACTGAAACACCCTGAATGCCTATTTAAAATTTTGTATTTGTGTCTGTATTTTGGAGAGAGGTCCCATATCTTATGAGACTCTAAAAAGGTAAGCAATCACTGAAGGCTAAGTCCCAAAGCTCAAAAAAGCATGGAAATAAAAATTTCCACTTTAATTAAATATCCCTGAATCATCCAATCAGAATCATCTAAATAAGGAACCGTGAAGTATTCCATGGAAAAAGCAGAGAATACATACCTGCCCAAAGCATTGCTGTAGTTAAAAAGCAAATAAAGAGCTTTTGGAGGCATTAAATAAGAAAGAAAAATTAAGATAGGATTAATATAATAAACACAAGGAAATGGTTGGCCTGCCTTAAGAGTTAATACACACAATTGATTTACTTTGAAATTTTAAAAATTTTAAGAGTTATTTTTGCATCATATACAAACAAAGGTAAAAGAAAATCATGAATTTTGTTCTTTCTAAGTTCCTAGTTGTAATGTAAGTTCTGTCTGTCTACCTGAACTAAGTGGAGAGAAAGAAATAGTCTATACATAACCCATGCAATGCTGAACTCCTTCTAAGGGAAAGAGGAAATATTTCTTAGTTTTCCATTTTAATCAACCAGGTAGGAAAGGCGGCCTTTGAGAGGACTCAAGATATTTGGCAAAGTTTGTAACCTTAAAAAAAAAAAAAATTTTTTTTTAAAGTCAAAACCAGAGAAAAGCTATTGTCTTAGTTATCTGATGCTGCTGTCACAGAAGTATCACAGTAGATGACTCTAACATTCAATCTCTCACAGTTTAGGAGGCTCCAAGCCCAAATTCAGAGTGACAGCTCCACAGGAAAGCTTGGGGTAAAGTCCTTTACTTCTTTCAACCTCTGTGGGTCCAGCATCCCTTGGAGATCTCCATGTGTCTTGGCATCAATCTTCCCCTATGTCTAGGAGGTTCTCAGTGCAGGAACCCCAGGTCCAAAGGATGTACTCTGCTCCCAGCTCTTTCTTGGTGGTACTGAGGTCCCACCCTTCTCTCTCCTTTCACTTCTTGTAAGATAAAAGGTGATGCTACACCTCAAGTAATCTCTTATATCAGATCAGGGCTATGACCTGAGTAAGGCTGTTGCATCCCATCCCAATCCTGCCTTATTACTGAAACAAGCATAAACTAATCCTTGCCAACATAAGCCCATGAACCCATAGAGGTCAACATTCACAACACATCACAAAATAGAGGATTATTATATCAGATCAAAATTATGGTCTAATCAAGTTGACCATATTTGGGGGTGGGGGGCACATCTCAATCCATGACACCAAACTATGGTGATTTGTCAAGTCAATTTTCAACTCGTAGAAACTTCATGTGTCAGAGTAGTACTGCTCCATATGGTTTTCTCTCTGGTAGCGTAGTGGTTACGAATCGGGCTGCGAACCTCAAGGTCAGCAGTTCAAAACTACCAGCTGTTCTGCAGGAGAAAAATGAGGCTTTCTGCTCCCATAAAGATTTACAGCCTTGGAAACCCAGTACAGGGTCACTATGAGTCGGTACTGACTCCACGGCACTCAACAACAACAACAACAACAACAACAATCTTTAGGGGAGCAGATAGTCAGGTCGTTCTGACCACTGTGTGGCTGAATTGTTGTGTTCAAACTGCCAGTCTTTTGTTTAGCAGCCTAACACTCAACCATTGTACCTGCAGGGCTCTGTTCTAGATGTGTGATTTTCTACCAAGCACAAGGAGAAAGAGCTGGGTTTGAATCCCAGCTTACAAGCTGTGTGACCTTGGGTAAATTGCTATCTTGTAAAATGGGAGTGACATATAATTTTAAGCATTATTCTGGAGGCTAAATAAGAAACTGTATATTGAAACACCTATTTGAGTGCCTGGCATACTCCATCTCTTCCTGTTCTGGCCAAAGATACAGATGGCTTGACACTCTAATTGAAGGACCAATCTCTTTGAAGTTACTGAGCAAAAATATACATATTTTAGTTTAGTACTAAAATTTATCTGTGGTGTAGTGAATTATCTAATGTCTCTTCTACCCATAGTTTGGAACTCCCACCAAACAATGTTTCTGCCTTGCTTGATCTGAGTAAGAGAAGGTGGAAGAAGACACTTATGGTGGTGGTGGTTATATGCTGTGGAGTCGGTTCTGACTCATAGTGACCCTGTACAGGGTTTCCGAGGCTGTAAATCTTTACAGGAGCAGAAAGCCTCATTTTTCTCCCACGGAAGAGCTGGTAGTTTCAAACTCCTAACCCTGAGTTAGCAGCCCGATTCATAAACACTATGCTACCAGAGCTCCTGAAAATACTTATGTTGTTGTTGTTAAGTGCCGTTGAGTGGATTCTGACCCAAAGCAACCCTCTATAGGGTTTCTGAGGAGCAACTGGTGTGCTTGAACCACCGACTTTGCAGTTCAAATGGCTTTGCAGTCTGGCACATTAACCCACAGCACCTCACCAGGACTCCGAAGATACTTACGTTGTTGTTGTTGTTAAGTGCCGTCTAGTCAATTCCAACCCATAGTGACCCTGTATAGAGTTTCCAAGGAGCAGCTGGTGAGCTTGCAGTTCGAACGACTTTGCAGTCTGAAACATTAGCCCACAGCAAAGATACTTATAGGATGACATAATTCAGATGTGAATGTTTCCAGAGTTCATTGTAATTGTAAAAACTTGAACCTCTCACACAGGTATAAAATGAATCATCTCAGAAGCAGGAGGTGGATCTCATTACTATCAAAAAAGAGGCAGGAGGAAATGTGTCTTTTGGACCCTAAGATCCCTGTGCGTTGACCTGCCTCGACTCAGGGACAGAAACCTGTGACACTGGAGGAGTAACAGAGGAGCAGCAGCAACAGAACCAAGAGTCAGAGCACAAGACAGAGCAGTGACCTTCGGAACCCACGAAGCAAGTAAAGCACAGTAACTTAGGGCAGGAAGTTTGCTTATAGAGTGGGGTGCCTCCTGGCATGTAAGTGAGGGAACTAGGTTTGCTAGTCTCTGGAACTAGAAACAAGTACCATGAACTCAACAAAGGAAGACACACAGAACAAAGAAGCAGCAACACCACAAAGAAAACAAACATAATGGCAGCAATTAATCAATACCTATGGATAATTACACTGAATGTAAATGGATTAAATGCACCTGTTAAGAGATAGAGGGTGGCAGAATGGATACAAAAACAAGACCTTTCAATATGCTGACTGCAAGAGACACATCTCACACACAGAGACAAAAACAGATTAAAATTAAAAATCAAAGGATGGAAAAAAATATACCAAGCTAATTGCAATAAAAAACAAACAGGAGTGGCAGTACTAATCTCTGATAAAATAAACTTTAAGGCAAAAAACAGCATAATAGATAAAGATGGACATTATCTCATGATTAAAGGGACAATTGAACAAGATGAAATAACCATAATAAATATCTATGTTCCCAATGAAAGAGCTCCAAAATATATAAAGCAAACTCTAAAAGATTTGAAGAAAGAAATAGATGATTCTACAATAATAGTGGGTGATTTTAATACACTGCTTTCAAAAATGGATAGAACAACCACAAAGAAACATGACAAAGACACAGAAGAACTAAACAATACAATCAGCCAACTGGACCTCATAAATGTGTACAGAGCATTCAACCCAACAACTGCACAATACACATTCTTTTCCAGTGCACATGGAACATTCTCCAGAATAGACCATGTCTTAGGACACAAAACAAATCTCCATAAATTTAAAAATATCAAAATACTACAAAGCATCTTCTCAAACCACAATGCTATCAAATTAGAAATCAACAATAGGAAGACCAAGGAAATCAAGTCAAATACATGGAAACTGAATAACACCCTGCTGAAAAGCGACTGGGTAGTAAAAGAAATTAAACGTGAATTCACAAAGTTCCTAGAAATAAATGAGAATGAAAACACAAAATAACAAAATCTTTGGGACACGGCGAAAGCAGTGCTGAGAGAACAATTTATTGCCATAAATGCACACATCCAAAAAGAAGAAAGAACCAAAATTAACACATTAGCACAGCATCTACAACAATTAGAAACAGACCAACAGAGGGAACCCACAGCCACCAAAAGAAAAGAAATAACAAAGATTAGAGCAGAAATAAATGAGATAGGAAACAGAAAAACTATAGAAACAATCAACAGGACAAGAAGCTGGTTCTTTGAAAGAATAAACAAAATCGACAGACCATTGGCAAACCTAATGAAAGAAAAGAGGGAGAAGACACAAATAACACACATTAGAAACCACATGGGCGATGTCACAACGGAACTGAAGGAAATCAAAAGGATAATAACAGAATACTAGAACCAAGTACCTTCAGGCAGAGGTTTATGGTGGAGTGATGTTTCCTGTGGACATTTATTAGCATTTGACTGAAACTACTGTTCCCTGAGCATTTTCTGATTCTGTGTTGTAACCTGTTAACTTCCTGAATAAACCCCATAATTGTTAGTATGGTGTCTGAGTTCTGTGTGGCCGTTACAACAGGTAATTGAACCTGAGTTATAGAGAGG